GCTACAGAGAGTCTAGCATAGGGGTCAGCAAGCTACGGCACGTGTACCACATGTGGTACACCAAACAATTTCCAATGGCATGCAGCCGCAAATGACATTACAACATCCGAACCTACTACAAACCAAAGTAGATATTTAGCCGTTTCAATTTTAATATATACTAAAGTATATATACTATATATTACTATATTGTAAAACAGGTATATTGTCCTTGACTTGCATAAAAATATGTATGCTGTTGGCTCACTGAATGATTTTAAAACTCTAAATCAGCACATAGTTAGCAAAAGGTTGCTGACCCCAAATCTAGATATGAAAATTCTCTGGCAGTTAGATAACAAAGAACAAAAAGAAAACAAAAATTCAAAGAAATTTTCCCAAGCATGAACAGAGATTTTTCTAAAATTACTTTATATCTCAGACATGCATGTGGGGCAAGTAAAAGAAGGTGTTTTTTTTTTTTCCTGAAAGGTGGTTGCACTTTAGTTTTTCTGCCTTCTTGAATTTTCTCGTTTTGTCATTGAATCCGTGTCTTTTCCTAAACTCTAACCCTTTTTTCCATTTTAGATGGTAATCCTTTTTATCTAAAATTCTTATCCTGCCTTAATACCCACACAAAAGAAAATTTTTGTGAAAATTTTGTATTTATACCTTTTTTGTCTTAATTCTGTAACAAATGTCTTTTTTTTTTTTTCATTTTATGCACTGATTGAGTGGTGTTTTGTATTTTCACCTATTTTGACCTCAAGAAGAGAAACACATGTTCTGTTTTCCCTTTCTATTCCTACTAAGTAGGTTTTTGTGTTTATCACAAGAATTTAGATTTAGTAAAGAGTTAAAATTTTATAAGTATGACACATATTAAAAAAATGAGAAATTAAGTTTAAAAATTAAAAAGTAATTTGATAAGAAAATTTAAAGTTAGTCTCAAGCAATATTCTATTGAATTATTTAAATGGTATCTATCTTGGAAAACTGTAGCAAACAGATCCTTAATTGTTATATAGCTTGACATAAAAGAACAATTATCCTAAACAATTAACTTTAATTTGATTTGCTTATTACTTTTGAATGTTTGATATACTTTCATACTCTGAAAATATTTTGCTTTTCACTGAATGGATGTAGAAAAAAAGTGAAAGTAGTTGCTACTCAAATTCCATAAAATTTCAGCCAGAGTCATGACACATACGCTAGATTTCATTGTTTAAAAGGCTCATTTTCAGGATACAAAATATCTTTCTGTAACATTTTTTCAAATGCCTATAATAAACCTTGGATTATTTTGATGTTTTTAATTAAAAAAAAGTCTTTTGAAGCTTAGCTATCATTTTTGCAAACAGGAACTAAAATATATTTGCTTTTCTTATCTGGATAAGTCATTTTATGATAAAAATAAATTGCAATAAAATTCATTAAAAATGTTTTAATTTTATATACAGGGTGATTGAAAAGTAACTCCCTATTTTATGCATGATAGACTCTCCTGTTTAACTATCATTTTTACAAAACAGGAGAGTCCATCATACATAAGATAGGGAGTTACTTTTCAATCACTCTGTAGTAAAATATAATTTTCTTGGATTAAAGATTCATGAAAAAATATACATTTAAACCAGGAAAATAAAACAAATAAGAGCGTACAGTTAATATCCAAATCTGAAACTAATGCCAGGAAAGCTTAATTCATAATTGAAATTTAAATCTGAAAATAATATTAATTTCTATTAAAGAAGAAGCGATAATTTATATTGAATCCTAGAAATATTGCTATTTTCAATGCCAAGGAATATTTTGTGTGTAAAATAATGTTAAAAAAGAGAAAGTCATAATAATTCCCATTCAAATTTGTGTGGGAAAGGCAGAAGGCAAAAACGGATGATGGAAATTCCTAAGGATGAAATTGATCTATCGATTGAAGTAAGATTTCATGCCTCTTTTAGTTGTCTTGAATGTGTGACTGGTACAATAATTATTAGCATTGAAATTCAGTTCAAATCCTGGCCATGTGTTCTGTCACTGAAAGTTTGTGTAAGAAAGACAAATAAGAAGTGATAATATATATTGCATCCTGAAAGTATTGTTATTTTCAATGCAAAAGAATATTTTATATTTGGATATAAAATAAGAGGAAAAAGTAACAATAATTCCTATCAAAGTAGAAAGGATATATGGAAGATTGTTTTAATGTTTCAATTCAAATTTAAATATACATATGTTGTGTATGTAATATTATGTGCAGGATTGTTTCACAAAACTTGACAATACCAGAAACCAAATATGTTAATTTTTATTTCTATGCAGTTAAATTGTTTAAATGCCTGTTTTACTGAAAGGGACAGAAATACTCAAATATAAATAAAGTTTATTCTTAATTTTGATCCGGATGCATGCACATTTTATTTTAAAATTAAAAAAATATATAAAAAAATTAAACAGAACTTTTCAGCTGAATTGGATGTATTTAAATGAATTCTTGCTTCCTAAATCTACATTATGGCTGAATTATTCTCATTATTTTATGAGGATTACTTGCTTACAATAAAACTTAGTCCTCTTTTTTTTTTTTTATGCTTATCAATGGCAGAGGAAATATAGTCATCAGAGCTAGCTAGATTATATTCTTTGTGAGAATTTTATCAGTTAAACTATTGTTTTCAGTTCAAAATTTAATGAAAATATTCTCAACATTAAAATTATCATAAATTATGGTAATTATGGCTTACTTGTTTATTGATAATTATGTCAGTATTGTTTTGACTTTAAAATCCTACAATTGGTAACATGGCTGTATTTAAAAAAAGCACATGAACATTAATGCTTAATGATGCTCTTCCTTGTCATGATTAGCTCTGTAATTTACTATTTTAAATGTCAATGTGGTGCTCATATATTAGTAGAAGTCAGTTGCCAGAATTAGGAATTAACAAGATGCACCAGCAAATACTTGGAAAGGAGATTGTGATAATTTACATGTCTGTATCAATACATTTTTGTTGCCAATAACCAAGCATTTGTTACAAAACCATCAGTTTGCCCAATACTGAGATAGGCTCATTTAGAATTTCACCTAAAAGTATTAGAGGCTATATTAAGTCCTTCCAGCCATCTCTCTGTAAGCAGAAGGTATGGGTTTTAAGCCTGAATTTTATTAGCCTTTGGTGATTATATATTTAATAATTATAACGTCTTTCTTTTGGTGTTCTTTTTTTTTTTTTACTTTATCTACAGTGCACTTTTGTTTAGTCTTTGATAGAGAACTTTGATAAGAGAGAAATGAAAACTGGTTAATCCTTTTCCTTTTTTGTCCTTTTTTGATTTACCTCTTTATGAGAACTATAAAATGTTTTGTTATTCTTTCTTATTGTTTATACACTACTTCAAATTAGATCTCTTTTGGATTCACTCTACATGCCTGCAAGGTGTGAACATCAAGAAAGCAAACTTCAGATATTACAAAATTTCACCATCATTCAAAATTGCCTTCCTTACACATCCACTGTAACAACTAAAGAACCATATATCAATATTTTTAATGTTTCAAAACACACACAGCCTCTGTATTGGCAAAGTCAGATTTGCCAATACAGAGTCAGTCACTAATCTATTCCAGTCCTCTTGACATCCCCACCATGACCTTGGTCAACCATCTGTATAAATACATAAGTTCCTGGCCTTACCAACAATACCCTTACACCAAATTGCCTCTCTTACCAACAACAACTAAAGAACCTCATATCAACAATTTTGCTATCCTTTCACACCATCTCACAAGCTGGTTATTGCTGTTTTCGTTTGTTATTTTTGGATTCTGGTTGGATGAGAGAACAGAGACATTTCTCTTTGATCAAGCTGCATTAATCCACTCCAGAATTCTCATTGTCACCATTGTCCACAACTCAACCCATATTCAAAATCGCCATGCCTCGCTCATAAACACATAAATATTCTGATCATGTCTGCTGTATTGGAAAATACAAAAGAATTTTATAATTACAATTTTGTATTCTTTTCCTTTTACCTCGCTGGTGGAACTTTTATTTCATTTGTTCTCCTGTGCTACCATACACGAATTTGTAAGTTTTAATATGTCCGTTTTTATTGCAATTATAAAAAAAAACACATGTAAATGTATCAAATGTAATATGAATTAAAGCAAAAAATATGACCAACATTTTATTTAAATTCTAAAAACAAAACAAAATTAAAAAACAAATATGTAGAAAATAATAAAAATTACTACCTCTGTCCCATAATAGTTACATTTTCTATATAAAAGATGTATGTCAATGTAGCACAATTGTGGGACAGATACAGAATATTTTTTAATTTTCAGAAATCCAAAAAAATGTTTGAAATTATTGTTTTTCAGTACAACAAATAGAAACAGTAAATTTTTACTCCACAGTTACTTCTTTAATGGCTTGTTTAATCTTGTTCAGCATGTTGCGTTCTTAATGTGATTTTTATTTTATTTTCAAATTTTTCTGGTTCTTTTTCTCATTTTTCCAAATGCCATGTCTAGAACATCATAGAAACAAGAAGTCTATGTCTGCCTTAGAAAAAATATGTTGCATCTTTGCTATATCACAAGCATTAAGATTGAAATCAACACCTACATTATTAAACAATTTGCTGCAATTTGAGAGGAGAAACTTTATGTGATTCACATCCATGATTTTCTCAAAAGTTTCCCTTCCAATAAAGTCCTTTAAACAGTTGAAGGGACCATAAAAACTAATTTATAATATATAATAATTGTGTATATGAAAATATGTACAATATGGATGTTTTGTAGTAATCTCAGGTAAAGCGAAAGGTATCAAAAAACATAAAAAATAAAATCTTGATCAGCAGGTATTTATTTAAGATTTGATACCCATGTTCAAATCTGACATAATAAAATCTTTGATGAATTCGATGATTTTCTGGTAAACAGCTTGGTCTGCTCGGATAATAGCCAGAAGCATGATGGCATCAGTTGCTTTCAGATGACTCACAATTGAAGAAAAATTTTCAATCAGGTAGTCTTTTTTCTTTTCTGGTAGTTCCATAAACACTTTACTCACTGGTCTGAAATTCCCAGAATTACTGTATGCTAAAAGACCACCAACAGTGCCACCTGGATTTCATAAAAAGAGAAAAGGTTTAAGATTAAACATTTTTTTCTTTCTCCCTTTCTGTCTCTCTTCATATATACACACACACACACACACACACACACACACACACACACATCAAATGCCCATCTCAAAAGTTCAAAGAATTTCAACAAACTGATCAATTAATTCTCTGTCAAGCTACCTAGTGTTTCCCCATGTCTCACCAGATATTTCACTTATTTCTTGAAATTTCTTAGCCTGGAAAGAGAATACCTAATTTTTTTGTGAAATTTTTAAAGACTTTTCATGCTCTAAGATCCATAAATGTTTTAGGTGGAACCTTTATATATATATATATATATATATATATATATATATATATATATATATATATATATATAATTTAAGATTTTAATAAATCTCTAATGTGGTATGAATGAAATTTATGTTTAGTGTTTGTTCTGAGGAGTATAAATATGATATTTCATAAACATTGGTAAAGGCTCGTGTATAACCAGCCAATCTTTTTAGAAAAACCGCTAACAGAGAAATGTCTCCAAACAACCCATTTCAGGTTTTTATCCAGACTTTTCCTTCTAGACAGGTTGCTAATCATAACTAGCTGATCTGGTATTTAACCCACAGCTGAGAGGAGGAAGAGATTGATTCATACCTCCCCAAGGGTATTTTGTGTGAAAGTCAATGTAATTAACTCGGCCTTAATTTAAATTTATACATTATTATATATTGCATTTTGTCTTTCATTTGAATTGTATGATTTGCTCCCAAGTCTCAACCAGGAACTTCAAGAGACAACAAGTTCTTTGTCCCAGAAGATACAAACAGATATGGTGCCATGCAATCAGAGAGAAAAACAATATGTAATTGTAATCATTACACGGAGAGAGAGATCTAAGCAAATGACATTTTTTGCAATTCACATATTTTCAGGGCGCCAGGAATTTGGTCTACATATGTGTTCGCTCCTTCTGATATAATTCCCCAAATTTGATCTCAAGCTTTTTTTATTTACTTAGTTTCTTAAATATTATTATTATTATAACTAATGTAATTTTAGATTAGAGAATTATTTTATTTTTACTGTGGGAGTATGTGATACCTTTGCAGTTTTGTGAATTCATTTTTTTTCATGCAATATTAAGTAATATAAGTTTGGTAAATAAAAGGAATATATATAGAAATGCTGTCTTAAGAATTTCTCTGTTAAACAACATTTGAGAAATAATTTAAAAATGATTAAATTTTCATAAGGTTGAATAATTTTGTTCTCAACTTTAATGTAATTTTAGTTCAGATAATTATTTGATGTTTACCATGAAGAATTTCAAAGTTTCAAAAGAATTCATATGAAAATTTATAAAGAGGAATTGTTAAAATATCTCACCTACTGCGAATCCTGGAGGCCCCATCATTAATCCACCTAAAAATGCGGTGGCACCAGTAATAAGAGCACCTTTTGCACTCTCTTTGGCTGTAACGTATATTTCAGCCTCCTCACAAATGTCTATCAAGATACGAAAGATTTGGTTCTTATTGATTGGCATACCTGAAAGATAAATAAAAATCAGATTTGTAAACTTGGTTTTTGTTTTATGGCACAACTTAAATTGACTGGTCTGTTAGTAAAAAATATTACACCCTTTTTAGCCATGACATTTGGCAGAATAGAATAATAATTGAATACTATTATGAATTAGGAAAAAGAACATTATCAGTAGTAAGCAGTTATCAATATTATAAGCACAGTTTCAAACTTGATATTTGTAAGTAAAATCAAAGTGCAGATGATTTTATAAAAATTCGGGGATCAGTTTCACACTGTATTTATATTATGAACAGGACCTCAACTTATAAAATATTTTTTTAATCTAACAAATGTTCCAATCATTGTTGGCGGAACTTGTTGCCAAGTATTGGGGTGCTCATCAACGTTTCCTTCTGTGTGAAATGAGTCCTATGTTGGATCTGAAGAGATGTCTGCAATGTAGGGTAGGAGGTTCTGTCTATATTTCTGAGATGATGATATTGTCCTCATCTTTGTTGCCATATTTATTACAATGTTTTGACTGTTGTACACTCCGGTCTTCTTCAGGTGGTTGGAATGTCAAACTTAACCCTTTATTTCACTCACTGGGGTAGACTGTTCTAGTTCCACATGCTATGTTTAATGGATGTCAGTTATCAGTTATCTCCTGTTAATTTCCCTCTGGAATGGCACAGTGGATAAAGACGTTGGTTAGATCCAGTGACAGGACCCAAAGAGTGTGAGTTCAATAACTGGTTAAAGCAGTGGAGAACTTTCAGAGGGAAATTAAACATGGCACGTGGAACTAAAACTGTAATTGGGAAAGGGTTCATAAGGTAAATTTGATATTGGACATGATCCATCATTCCCTTATGTAGAGCTTGGATGAGAGCTGGTAATTTCTCAGAGCATCCATAGTGTCTGACGACTTGCCACAAAGCCGGTCTTTGAGGAAGGGCTAATGAATGCTAATATACAAAAACCGTTTTATACAAGAAGAGTTGTGGCTATATTTTGCTCATAAATATTCATCAGGTTAACTGAAAAGTCTAGGTAAATTATGGAGGATGCTAAGTGACATAATTTAGTGTAATGATTGAAAAAGAGTAAATGATGTTGTTGATTTTTTTTTTTACATAAATTTATCCCATACTAAAATAATAACTGTCCTTTTGACACACCATTTTTATGTGGACACAAAGCTTAAACACTGGCAAAACATTTTGTTTACATAGAAATAACAAATATACTCATTAATGTTTGAGTTTTAAAACATCTAGCCTTAACCTGAAATTTAAAGTAGCAAAATTAGAGGTGAACTTGATTGAATAATATTACTCTTATTGATATTATGGTGTATTAGCTGATTTATCTGAAATAAGGAAGTCCAACAATTGTGGTTGTATGTTTCAATTATTGAGACAAATGAATACAATGCATCTATTTTATGAATGGTTCACTGTAAATCCTTCAGAGTAGAGTACATTTATCATCATTTCTTTTAATGTTCTTCAGGGAGAAGAATCATAAAAATAGGAAATTATTCTTACAAGCATGAACTTTAAATATAAATGAAGACACTGACATTTTGTTTTAATTTTACAATATATTAAACCTTTAACATTCAACCTGCCACATAATCATCAGCTCTCAATGTTCAACCCACTGCATGTATACTCTGCCATAATACAGGGTGTGATGGATAAATTGTTGTCTAAATTACACAAAAATTAAAATAAAACTGACATTTTAACAGATATACCTCCTGCTTGTGTGGCATGGTACATAGGGTCTTCCGGCAACCACCCCCTTGACCCAGGTCAGCACTACCTCCTCAATGCACTTGATGTAGGCCTCTGTTGATTCTGCCCTCACCAACAAATTCGGGAATTCTTTTCTTATCAGAACAATGAGTTTTCCAAGCTGCTGTACTTTTGTAATCACCAGTAGCCTCATCCAATTCTTTCCGAATCCTCCGCACTGTCCGCAGATTGAAATCCAAACACTCTGAAATGTTCATAGTGGAGCTTCCAGGGCCAATGACAAGCAGTACGTCATGCCATTTCCAAATTCATGGCAGAGTGAATTGTGTCATGGTGCCCAACTGACTCTATTATACTTTGCAATCAACAAAATTAAAAACAAACAATGTGCATGTGCAAAATTAAAAATAGAAAATGGCAAAAATTTACACATTGCACCCTGTATATGACATCATTGCAACTAATGCAGGAAATCATGTAAACAGTGAGACTTTAACCATAAATAGTAAGACTTTGAGAATTGATATGTATAGGATAGGTTTGAACCTGTTGAATGCTAAAGGCTTACATAATATGACAATTCTTAAGGAATTAAGTTTTACAGGACTTAAAAAAAAAGTTAAATAAATAAATAAAAAAATAGTTGTAAAATTCTGACATTAATTCTATTTTTTTTTTTTTTTTACTAATGTTCACCTAATAGAAGGGTCACTCAAGGTAGAGGGTTAATGTGTGGAGTTGTATTAGTGTAAGAAAGGGCAAAATAAGAGGGAAGATAGCTAATTCTAGACATGAGGAAGTTAAGATTTAATTAGCAAATAAAATTTCAGAGTTCAGGTAGAGACATTAGGATGTTAGAATTGAAGTAGACTTTAGAAGGGACTGGAAACCCAATCCTAAACAAGAAAGAACCACTAGTCTTGTTCAAATGACTGGGGAAGAGTATGAACCAGATGATAGGCAAGCCTATTGACTCCCGATTCTTTTAGACTAACATCCTTCTCTTTTTTTTTGGTTTTTATCATAATGTTTAATTTTGTTTGGTTTGGTTTGTTTTACAGGATATCAACCTCAATGGGTAATTTAATGCCAACAAGGTTTTTATTGCTGGTAATATTTTTTTTTCAAAAAGTATTTTTGGTAATATTTTTTCCAAAAAAGTATTGCTGGTAATAATTTTTTACAAAAATGTTTTGCTGGTATTAAAACCTATTTTTACATGTTTTGACCCAGTTTGGGGGTTAACTATTTGTCCATAGCTGGGACCATAACAGGTGCTACCACCTCGGGTCAGGGTGGGCCTGGAAACACCAGCAATTAAGAGGTGGTTCTACTCTCTTCAAAACCTCATGATCAGAGCCCTTGTTGCTGGACGTAGTTTATGCTCATACCCAGGATAGATTTAATTTTGTGTAGTAAGACAAACAATAATAACAAACTTAGTCAGAGATTGTTGTTTTGTTCAAAGTTTGCTAAAGATTTCTGAATGTTTCATACACCTGAGGAAGAATGGAGAATAAACTGATTTATACAACAGTGATGACAATGTCAACCAGAAAGAATAATTGAATAGTAACATTTTTCAAAAACTGAGTAGATTAGGTTGATGCAATTACTGCCTGCTTAGTGATATTTCTTATCATTGAAGTCCCTTATTTTTTGTACCAATAGTCAACCGTGAGGAAGGTTTTCAAGGTATGAAAATGAAAGGTCTTTTAAATAATTGAAGGCATTTTTAGTTATCCCTAGAATATTTATATAATAAAATGTATTTCATTTGAGAAAAAAAAATGTTTGAAGAAAAACAAAGAAAGAAATCTGAACTACAAAGGAAGATCAAAGTAAAAATGAATAGCTCAGTCTCACTATTACGGGCATCAAGTGTTACTTTTATGTATGTTTTTGTGATAAAATTAGGGAAAAATCAAGTCACTAAAATTCAATTCCTACCTTACTCCATTTCCTGTCATGTTTGTTATGTGACAGTCTAAACGAAATTGTGTGTTTGTTTTTTTAAATTTTGCACTGCTTTTATACTAATACATCATGTGACAGTTGTAGTGTCACATGACTATGCATCTAAGGGAATACCCTCCTCAACTTTGGCCACTTTTATTTTATTTACTTTTTCATATGTATGTTACATCTATATGAATAAAAAATTTTTATGGCCAAAATATTGAAACCTTTTCTTTCAACCTAATATCTATTCAGAGTGACCAATTAAAGGACATTGGTTAGAATTTAAACACAGTTGTCTTTCTTTCTCTTTTCACATGATAAAGAAAAAGTCACTTTTGGAAAAAATAGTCCCTAGTGATAAAAACTAGATTTACTGTGGAAATCTTAAAATAAAGAAAATTGTGGTTAAATTAAATGTCTTGAATATCTCAACATCAATGGAATACATCTCTTTTGCACTTGCTGAGACTTTTTCCCTAATTGCTGGATAAGCTGCTACAGTGAGTAACTGGCTTGTTTGAATGACATGGGAAAAGACCTTTCACTGGATAAGGAAGATGACATTTACTGTATGATAATGCTTGCTTTCTTGTGATACAGCAAACAATTTGGAATATAGCTGGGATGCAAAATTCATCTACACCTGACATATTCTCAAGGTCTATCATCATTTGTCCTATCCCATTGCTTGGCCAGTGATTTAACAAATTGAAGATATTAAAAAGTTCCTGAATGAATTTCCTGAAAAGAAAACCATAATATTTCTATTATGAGAAAATAAAATCGACAAACTTGGACCTTCATACCTGCAAAAGTGTCAAAAGGACAGTTTTTTCATTGGCACTGCAATTATTTTAACTATCTTCACTCGGCAATATTTATTGTTTTAAAAAAATGATGATTAGAATTGTAATAAAACCAAAACAAATGAATTTATACATTTTTTCTTCTTGAGAATTTACAACGAAAATAAACAGTTTATTAGATTTTTTATTTACACTTTCATATAATTTATTGAAGTGGTTTGCAAAACATTGACTAATTGCCACTCGATTCAAACTTTATAAAATGGTAAATAAGGATTTCCTCATAGTTGCTTCATACATTTTAATAATTCAGTAAATGTTTATAAATTTATGAATAAAAAATTATTTTCACATTTATTTCTTCATAAATTCATAAATGATAAATATTGTATTGCATTAGTTTTAATTGTATTAGTTTTTAGAATGTTGTAAATATAAAATTATTCTTGTAAGTAAACTAATAAATAAATAGTGTTTAATTTTTGTTATA